TTAATTTTAATTGCTCTTTATTAATCTGTTTGCCACCGTATCTGTTTCAGATCGACGTTGGAGAAGACAAAGATGACCCAGTAGTTGAAATAGTTCTTTATCTTGCATGCTCTATCTAGTAGAATTCATTAAGTTAAATTAGTTTTAATTTGTTCTTCGTCTGAGAGGTTAGTTTGATTGATTCATATTCAATAATTATTCTTCGTATTTGCTCACAGCATAAATTAAATTGACAAAATTTTTAAAGATTAAATCTTGAAACAGACATCAGGTGGCTACGTCGCCATTTTTAATGTTTTGCTATTTTATTCGTTTTTGACTGGTTTTTTATTCTGTGTTTTTGTTTTATTTCGTGTTTCATTTATTTAATACGAGTGTTTAATTCTTTTTTTTATCCATTTTCCGCATATATTTTGACTTTCATTTGAGAGAAAGGTAGAAAAGAAAAGGATTAAATATTTAAATTTTTTGCGTAACAGGTAGATATCTATTAAAAAAATTAGTTAATGATTGTTTTTGTCCGTTTACACAGATTGACCAACAATGGAGAGAGGTTGGAACTTATATCCTTTGCTTAATGAAATTATAAGTCGTCTCCTATGGTGATTTAGCTGTTAACCTTTCATCTTGAAGGTTCTTGTAGTTAATTAAGGTGAGCGTGCATACTGTATTTTCTATATGTAGTGTATTTATTTGACATTAACAAAGAAAAAGATCAGCATCACTTTAACAATGTATCGTGCAGATTATTTACTTAATACTTAATTAATTATAATCTGAACACTTTATAAAATTTCATTTTACAGGAACATTAGAAGAACTCCGGATACCATTAAATTATGAAATTATCGAGCATTGGTTGTATTAGTCCTCATTTGCCCCGGAAAGTAGCTGTGCCCATGATTCTAAAGAAAGCATGAAAGTGCCTTTTTTCCGTTGGGAACGAAACTGTTAAATTTTCATCCTGGATGCTCTTGTAGTTAATTAAGGTGAGCATACAAGCTGTATTATATATATGTAGTGTATCTGTTTGATTTTAAAAGACAAAAGGGTACGGTGTTACTTTAACAATTTATTTATGCACTCTACTTAGTAGGGGGTCTAAATTTATTATATTTGAATACTTTTTCATAATATTAGATTTTACAGGGATGTGAGAAGAACTCCAGATGCCATTAAATTGTGGAGCATTGATTGTGTCGGTTCTCATTGACTCCAAAAAGTGACTGTTCCTATAGTCATAAAGAAAACATGAAAGTGCCTTTCCATTGGGAACGGAGACAATGTGCTGAAGTGTGCTGCTGAAGGAGGGATTTATGACAATAAACTGGTATGTAACAGTATCAATTAAAATTAGTAAATGAGGGTCCCAGGAACTTGATTTCTTGGACATTTGTAACTTCTTCAATAGACAACTTTTCAGAAATGGAAAAAGCAGAATTATTGTGGAACTGACCTTTCCATCAACGTGAAAGTTAATTTCTAATTTTACCACTATATCGCCACATAAAAATATTACTGATTTACTTTCTTTAAAAGTGGTAATTAATTACCTTTTCTTGCCTGTTTCTATATAGATTGTCCCACAAATGACGAGAGATTGCAGTTAATTTTGATGTTACTGAAGCAACCGATTTTTTGATGTCTTCACTTTGCAACATTATGCAGTTAACTTTTACCGTAACGACAGGAGGCAGTTGGAAATTAATTAATTTGGAAGAGACTGGAACAACAGATTGTTTGCAGTGATCCCTCCTAGATTTGGTTTGCTCATCACACTGATAGACTTTAGAACGCCACTTTCTACAATTAATTAAGGTGAGAATACATGACTGATCAATATTAATTACTCTTTATAAATCTGTTATGAAGTTTTTGTTAACAATTAGCTATTGTCAACAGTATAAATTGAGTTTATTGTGTATCAGCATCACTTGACAGTTTTATTTTCCACAGAATAAATTGATATTTATCATTGATGAATCTATGGAGTTTATCTATCTATGAATTTTCTTTTTAACCTTTTTCTGTTGTCTATGTCGTAAATTGATGTCGTGTTATTTGACGTTAATCTATGTCGTGATCTATGGTTGTGATGTAAAATGGCGTAAAATTGTTGTTTGTTTATTTTATAATTCAGATATTTTACTTGCTTTTTGGTGCGTTTTTATTTGTGTTTCTTAATTATAAGTGTAATTAATATGTTTTTTTGTCCATTTCTGCAGGTTATACAATAAATGAGAGAGAATTAATGTTCAGTTTGGTTATACTGAAACAGCCCATGTCTACATGGGTGTGGTCTTTCCTGGATTATATTCTTGATTTGCTGTTTCGTCTTCGCCTTGTAACATCATGCAGTTAATTTTCAACCCAT